AAACGATAATTCAATTAAAATAAATACTATAAATCAACACTATTATATAAGTTTACCTTCAGTTTGAATTGTAAAACTTTCAAATTTTTTACTATTATCTCTATTCAAATAATTTGAACTATTGCTGGATGTTAATTCTTGTTCTTGAACAATTGCTTTTGACGTAAAAAATGCACTATTATTTACATCTTGTAAATATTCACCGTGTAAATATGGATCATAATTTGTGATAATGGAACTACCTGTTCCATTTGTATTATTGTACAAAGTACTAATTGAATCATTCCATTTAAATTCATCATTTTCTTCTTCAACTGTGAAATGGTTAGCTGTTGTAGTGAAACTTTCAACAATATTCTTTGCTAAATCAGTATGATATTTGTAATTTTTACGTTGTAAATCTAATCTTTTCTTCTTTCTCTGACGACCTATCTCTATCAAATCATTGATTCTCTTTTGTTGATTCATTTTAATAAAAATTTACTAATCACATCTACACCTGACAAGAAAATCAGAGTAATAAAGACAAGATAGACTTAATTAACAATGATGTGCGCAATTTACTTTCGTACATCATAGAATAGACAATATAGACTAAAAACACCGACGAGAAGATTTTTCGTCATTTTATAAGAAGACGTCGGTGAATGTGTCGGATATTAGGAAGAGAAAAAATAAGATAAAGTAAGAATCGATTCCTTATTGTTTCTGATGATATACGTACAATGTCTTTATCTATTCTCCTATCTTTTATGTACTTGGAATGCAAAAATAACTTATTCGATATTACTATCTAAAACAACAATAAATTTGATTGGTCAAACTGATTTAACAAGTGGTGTAACTTTTTACCAGATAGACACTAATATATAGAAGATGTATTTTCAAAACTAAAGGATGCATCATTTAAATTAGAACGTATTTAATCGCTTAAGAGTTTATTTAAATACATGAAACTATCGTTATAAAAATTATTTACACAAGACAAACTTATTATTATGATCTTATACGATCGTATAAGATCTGATCATCAGATTTTATAAAAAATCTTACTGTAAGATTCTTACAAAATCTAATGATCAGATCTTATGCGATCGTACAAGGTCTCATACGATCTGATCATCAGACTTTGTAAGAATCATACAGTAAGATATTTGTACGATTCTGTAAGATCATACAGTATGAATCTTACGATATCCGATGGTCCGTAAGATCTTGTAAGATCTTATACGATCATCATAAGATTTTTTCACCTGGGTATATTGATACTTCATCCAGTTTTGCGAATCTAGAGCACTATGTAGAAAGATAACTGAGTGGAAAGAAGCACATTTTTATTTGAAATTTTGTTGCAGGCAGGTTTTCGATGAAAGGAGTCGCATCTGTTAGTATACATAAAAATTATAGACTACTTCAGTTTTGTTGATCATTACCGATTTTATCAATTCAGTGGGTACGTGTGGCTGTGAATTCAGAGTAAACACCTACCCACCCCCACACGTCCACAACCACACATCCACACCACCTCATATATAATTAGAAAATATTTCTTCGTTAAGTCAGTAGAATTATATTTATATGATAACATTGAAAACAAATTGAGTCAAACTGATTAAATTTTATAGAAAAAAACAAATATTTGTCGAAAATAAGTTGCAATGAAAAACTTGATGAAAAGTATATTTGAAATAAATCTCTTTTATTATCTCGTGTTATATATATATATATATAATAGAAAACTAAATAAAATAGAGTTTGAATGATTATACAATATGATATTTATTCTTGTTTAATAAATATTTGTTATGTTCTCTTTTATGATTATTCAAAGACAACACATTATTCTATAGTTTATTATCATAAATTTTTTCTTTTTTATTTTCAAATATAAAAATAAATCGACGGTAAACAAAGAATAATTCTCATTCTATACAGACTTCTTTTGTCTTATATAAAACAGATGATTTTGATGAAGATCGTATCAATAGCAAATCTGTCATATTCGAAATTTTATCAACTTCAACTTGATTTTTATTTTGAAATCTTGATTTTCTTTAACTTTAATTGCAAAGTAAAGATTTTTGTAATAGAAAGAGCAAACATTACAATCATCACATAATCGAATACTAGAAACATCTCTCAATTGTATATGTTACAATTTCGATTTTACAGATACGATGACATAAAACAAAACTTTTTTCTTGCATTGATAACATGAAGTACTCTTAACCTTATGGTGTATATTATAATTGTTGTCGAAAAAAAAACGAGCAGTTTATATATGCGGTTGAATAAAATAAAGAAGAACATTGTGAAAGATAATAAACTAGAATAACTAAAGTAAGTCGGATTGAATGCATACAATAAATAATTAGTGTGAGTTTACTTCATTTATGATAAATTTTATGTTTCTTTTTTTGTTGCTTCAAAACATTTTCTTTACAAGATAGCAAATAACGTAGATTTCTGATCTATTGATTGATCAAATCTGTTCCGTAAAAAAAACCGATTGTGTGAATACTTACTGGCAAGTTCTTCCTTGGTCATTACTTTTCAATTTTTCATTGTTTTCATATCGAACAAATGTAGAATGTTTTTTACTACTTTTCATCCCAATGGATTATTTCAACTTTTTATTTTTTTACATAATTATTCCCATCCAATTTAGAAACGATTTATTTACTATTTAGTGATGAGTTTTTTTTACAGTTAGATAGTTCAAAATCGGTTTTATCATTCTGAACTTATCTTAAGATTACAAATAAAGAGAGTTCATGTTTTCTTTTTATAGAACTTGTAAAAGTAGAATCTGAAAAATAGATTTCTATAGATTGATCCCATTTGAAGCAAATGTCGACTCAACAGGTTTTGTTAGGAATTTTCGAACTACTCTCACCCGAGAAATTGTTCATAACATTTTCTTGAGTTATTCTATCATATTGTACTCAAATGAAAGATAAGATTTAATGTTGAAACAAGCGATTTTCTTATGAATATCACTGAAATCAAAATTTGCGTTTTAAGTTTCGATAACCTTGTTTGGATTGATTAAAAACAGATATCAATGGTTTTTTTTTAATTAAAACTTCCAGTAATTTATAAAATAATAAGAAAGATAAATATTATTTTTAAAAAGTTTTCATAGTTGAACTATGTCAAGGAAGTGAAAAATAATACTTGAGAATTAATCTTTAGAAGTATCCAATTAGAATTAGTCAATTCATTTTCATATATTTAATTTATTCTTAAGGATTTTGTTTGAAAATATTTAAACTCATTTTAAAAAGAAGAAAAAATTGAATGATAATAATAAGATAACATAAAGGTTAATATTATATTTAAAGATATTTATGAAGACGTATGTTATTTATTTTTTAAAATAAATCCTAGATTTTATTCGAATACGTTTCAATGATCTATTCGATAGTTTTTAGAACACATTTTCAAAGTTAATCTATCAATTTACGTTTTTTGAAAACTGCTAAGATATATTGCTTTTGATTGATCAAACAGTAATTGAATTAATGTTTTTTTTTTCGTAAGTTAAATAGAATTGTAGACATAAGAAGTTGATTATCTTTCTATGGGGGTTTATTTAATGGGACCTATGAAAAATATTTAAAGATATTCCAAATAAGTTAAAATATATAATTGAATTCTTATTTTAATTCATAATAGAAAATCGCAAGATTTTAAAATAAACATTTCTATTATTGATATTTAATGTGAAAAAAAAGCTTATTCAAAAATTTCTTAGGAAAATTGCCACAGTGAAATATAATCATTTGTAGAATATTTATATCAAAAAAAAAGACGACGCAGTCAAAACATTTTAGAAAAATTTCCTAGAAGTATAAAGCATGAAATTCTTAAATAAATCTAATAAGTCAATTTCTATTTAAGAATATTATGTTTACAGGAAATATTTAATGTTGATCTAGTTAAATAGATTTATTTTTACATTGAAGAGATAATTTAATAAAAGAAAAGAATTTTCGTTTCATGAAATGATACCATTAATAAATACACAAAATATTTATCTTAGATATAAGATTAATGTCCGCATGACTAAGCTGATTTTACTATAAAAAAATGATCTATTTATTATCTATACTTATCTAATGAAATTAATATTAAGTTAATAACTAATTAAATCAATAATAGTTATGAATTAAGAAAAGAATTTTAATAATTGACTTTGAGTAAAACAATAATTAAAATAGCCTTTCAATTTTCCTGATGATTGTCGAAGATTATATTAACCATTGTTTGAATGAAATTCTCTTGAACAATATTTGTTTCAGCCAAATATCTCATCTTCTATTTGCACAGAGATGGGCAAGCCATTTTTTCAAGTCATTTCAAAAAATTCGTATTCCTTTTTTCATTTAAAGAGTGTGCCTCTAATTTATATGTGACTACATGAAGAAATGTCCAGGCTACAAAAGAATATATTATGGTTAAAGGTTTTCTTCATCAAAAGTGCTGTAATATCTTTAAAACACCTTGACTTGATGAAAATGACTTGGTTTAATCAGGTCAAGTCAAGTCATGGTGTTTCAAACGTATTTCAGCACTGCTCATGGAGAAAAATTTTAACCATAATATGTCATTTTATAGCCTGAACATTGCTGAACTTATCCACATTGAAATTCGAGACACGTTCTTCAACTGAGAAAAGGTATAAGGATTTTTCGAAATGACTTGCCCATCTCTGTATTTCCATCTAACAAGCAAAAACTTTCTATGAAATATTTCAAATTGATTTTGATATGTTTTATAATATATAAGCTTCTAGTTCTCAATGATTTTTCTATTGAAAGAAAGTCATAATTCGTTATATCTCTGTTAGAAATTGATTTTTAGTATTTAGATATCTTGAAAATAAACAAGATCCAAACGAATAAATGAGCTTATTTATTTCTTTTTTCATGTTTTTGCCTTGATTTATTCTGTGTTATTTGTCATTATTGTCTTTATATATTTAAGTTTGATTAATAATGGCTCAAGCTAATTATGTGATTTGTAAATCAAAACCGTTAATTCCAAGAGAAGTTTTAACAACTAGTGATCAATTAAATAGTGGATTGCTTCCTAATCAACAACCTATCCAACCTGAAGGAACATCTTATGTTAATAAAACAGATTATTCTAATAAACATATTCGTACATGTGAAACAACTAAAGATCATCGTCAGTATTCATTCATCTATTTCTTTTTCTATTCTCTATTCAATTTATAATATAGATAAATTACCAATGAAAATAAGATATAGAATATCTTCAAATATGTCATCGATTAATAATACACAGATAAATAAAGAATCAAATATTTCTATTGATTTACGTAGGTCTTATAGTAAATTGTTTAATCGAGAGAAAATTCTCTAAATAAATAAATCTATTTCTATAGTTCAATATAAAGATTCTCAAACAACGAGAACATCAAGTCAATTTGCAACAACAGATAATATTAATAATTCGACAAGTCTATCCTTTCAAAGAATAAATTCTCAACGAAAACGAACATCACACTTAATTGAGTATGAAATTCAAAATAATAACATTAAATTCTTATTTATTATCTTATAAAATTATTCTAGAAACTCTGCAGAATTAACGCGTGAATGTGCTATTTGTTTATTAGATCAACCAATTTATTTCTTTGAAGGACATTATAGTAATAAATGTAAACATTCTCAAAGAACAATATGTGATACATGTATTTATAATAATATTAAATATATTATTGAAAATACGATAAATAGGAATTTATTTTGTCCTGAACCTAATTGTATGGCTATATTGAATTTTGAAAGTATTCGTTATATTCTTAGTATGGGAAATAATTTCGAATTATTTGAACGATATGATCGACAATTAACACATAAACATCTTGAACAAATTCAAGAATTTGTTTGGTGTGCACATAATGGATGTGGTTCAGGACAATTACATTATATAGATATATATAAAAATCCAATAGTTACTTGTATTAAATGTAAAAAACAAACATGTGCTTATCATCGTATTAAATGGCATATCGGAATGACATGTCAAGAATATGATCAATCAAATATATCATCTATTGATCATAATACACAAATATGGATTAGAAAATATTCAAAAAAATGTCCATTATGTCATTCATTTATTGAAAAAATATCTGGATGTGATCATATGACATGTACGATATGTAAACATCAATTTTGTTGGCAATGTTTTGCTGATTATCGAAAAATTCAAACTTATGGTCGTAAACAACATATGATATATTGTACACATTATTCGTCTTATCCACATTCGAACAATCATTTTTATAGACAAAGATCAGTTATTTGTACTATTTTATAGATTAAAACATATATTCATATTCGATATTTATTCATATCTATTTATATTCAACTCGGTTTTATAAATATTGATCAATAATCATGAATAAATGTTTTTATTTTGAAATTGAATTTATGTAAACGACAACAATTATGACAGAAAATTTTTGTATTTCTAAAATAAATCTTAATTAAAACAGATCAATACAAATGAATACTTGTCCCAAAATAAATGGTTCATTTTTCTTCTCTATCATTTTGAGGCATTAAAATAATTGCTTTAAATTCTATTACTCATATCAATTGATAGAATATTTTATTTTCAACAAAACTATCAACTTTATCTTTCGAATAGATTTTAAATGCTAACATTAACTTCATCAGAATAATATCTATTCTCAATGGTCAAAATGACATTTCCTATTTTTTTTTTGTTAAGATAAGATAGAAATGAATTTGTGTTCATCAGAAACGATTTCAAAAGTCCAAGATTATACATGAAAAGATAGACAATTTATTGTTCTATATGTTTTAAATTATAGCATGGTTCGGAATGCACTCGAAAAAAATTATCTTTTCACAAATGAAACTTGTCCAATAATATATTGATTCTCTTACCATTCGATGCAGAATTAAATTTTGAACAAGATGATGCATATCTTTGCTTGAACAATTGCAAAAATTTCTAAAATTTGATATGTAAACCAAAAATTAGAGAATATCTTCTGAGATATTCCAACATTTATATCATCGAATAGGTGTTAGTCTTAGTTATTTTATGTTGTTCAAAAGAGTTTGTGCAAAACATTAAATTGAAAGTTTCGTAGAATAGAATTTTTTCTATTCATTAGAATTAGCAATAGAATTAGAATCAATAGTTAAATATCAGAGACAATATGAAAAACAAAATTTAGTCATTTATGTTGAGGTATCCATTTGAGATGAAATCTATGACAATTGAATTGATACTGAAAGAAGTGAAAGGGAGTAGATATTATCTGTAGAAACTTTTTCCATAGTTACATGAAAGTTATCTACCAAGATTTTCAAGATTAAGTTTTGTCAAACAAATCGATAGTGATTCTCGATATAAAATATTTAGTCTCGATCAACTGTAACATTAATTGAGAACCATAATAAAATCTAACTGTTATAAGGGAATATACACAATAATAGTTCTGTCATTTGGTTTAAATGATTAATTTCGTTCGAAATAAACTCATAAAAAGAGAAAAAAAATATATAAAAACAAGGTTAAGATGAATTTGTAGAATCTTGATAATAATTGTGAATAGTTTATTGTTCTAATTAAATCGAATAAAATTTATCAAATTAAAATAAAACATTTTTTACTTTGCTGTTTAAGTTGTACAATAATATCTTGATGAATAGAGTTGCTATTACTAATATATTGACTATTGTTGAACATTTTCATTCAATTATTTTAGAATAATTTTCTATATAAACTGATTCTTTTTTTAAATTTAATTTAAAATATTAAAAGAAACTTAAAGTGTAACAGTAAATTGTCGAATAAGATGAATTCATGCTTTAGATTGCTTTAAAAGAAGATTTTATTGTGCAGTTGATTATTAACATGATTGATCAATTGATAAAATTAATTCTTTCTTTTTCTTTTCGAAATTAAATCAAAACGATTTCAATATTATTTTAAAATAAATTAATAAAAATAATCTTGTTTCTATTTAAACGATAAAATACGTTCTCTATATTAACTATAAATGTTCGAAAGAATTTCTTTATTAAACTAATTCTTTAATTTAACATCAATCAGTCAACAGTTTCCATTCAATAATGGACTCATGTTTACCATTCTCAATTAATTGTAAACATTTATGACTAAAATATAGAAAATATTTGATGGATTCCATCGGCATACTGTTCATAATATCTAGTGAAGAAGCAAAAATACTGAAATATGATATAAAAATTCGAAAGAGAATACTGCATCTCACGATCGGGTATATATGACAGAATTGATGTTGATTGTATTATCAACTTCTAATGTATAAGATCGAAATCTTAATAGAAGACTAAATAAAACATCCTGCCATTATATCAGATGTTATTGGGAGAGGCAGATGAATATTGACGAATGAGAGATTATGATGATGTCGAAACTTCGATTTCAATGAAATCGTTGCATTCCAAATACTCATTTTTTCATAATTCAATTGAGATGATGGTCGAAAGGATGTAGTTACATTCATATTCACATTTATAATTAAATCTATACTAAGATTAACTTTTCAATACGTTGAACCAAATACATATTGTCTATGGAAATTTATTAGAGATCTTTGCTTGATAGACTTATTCTTAATTAAATATAGGGAATAATAATTGGATAGGAAACAAAAGAACAACATTTTTGGTTTATTTCTTTTTTATATCGCACCTAATGAATGGATATGATATATCATTTGAATATAATTTATAAGCTAATCAAGTAATCTATATTACAATGGCAAAATCGAATAATAAAGTAAAATAAAGAATTGTTTTTGAGCTTCACAAATTAAATTATAAATTAAATTTCATATTGTGTTGCGGAAAAGTAAAGACGATCGTGTATCAATAACAGTATTGATGTTTAAATAAAAATAGTAAAGATGAATCTATATGTTCTACTCTATTAGACGTAACGTGTCATTTTCATTAACTAACAGCAATTAAGATGATAAAAATAGTAGACACAATTTTATTATTTATTTATTATTTAAAATTCGATTAAAAAAAAACAGAAAATTAAACTGGTTTATTAAGATTTTTTAAAGATTAAATACAAGAATTTGTTTCATATAGATTTTAACATGGTGGATATTTAGCTTGTAAATACTCAATTAAACTTTGTGTTTCTGTTTTATTGAATTCATTCAACACGGTAACAGATGGATTGTTAAATTCTGTATTTTTGAGATAACTTATTGTACCAAGAGAATAATTAAGAGCAGTTTTTGAAATATCTAATCCATCTACGAACCAAGTTTTTCCTTGATCTTGACTTTGAATTCCACAGTATGAAAGAAATCCTCCACTACCTTTCATTGACATACCATGAGTTAATACACTAGCAAGATATGAACCAGTTACAGAAAGAGAAAAAAGAGTATCTTGAAAAGGAAATACACGTAATATATCATATTGTGTTATTGTTCCTCGAAGAATATCATCAATACGCATTGATCCTGTATGAAAAACTGCAATTTTTGTTCCATTTACAGATGTTGAATTTAAAATACTTTGACATGCATGATCTGTTAATAATGTTGGAAAATTTCTTACTGATGTTGAACGACCATCTAATTCAATATTAGTTGGTAAACAAGATACTGTTTTATTAGGTTGAAATCCAATTTGTTGAAAACCTTTTATACCTAAATCATACCAATAATTAGTAACTTCAGCTGTTTTTGGTTCATCTTCTAATTGTGAATTTATTTGTGTTAATGTTCGATAAATACGTAATTGTTTAGTATCAACATTAAAAGCACATCGATGAATATAAACAGTAAATGCATTTGCATCAGCTTTTGTTATTGGAATATATTGTAAACCTCGTGCTAAAAAATAATCTTCATGTTCATGTCCACCTAATATTAAATCAATTTCAGGTATATGTTCAGCAAGTTGTATATCTGTTTTCAAATCTAAATGTGTTAATGCAACTAAAACATCATATTTTATATTTGATATTGATGTAAGAAATTGTTTAACAAATGGAATAAGTGATGTTTGATTAATAATACGAATATATGGTTTATCTATATCAATTGTTAAACCAATTAAAAGTATATTAATATTATCAATTGATAATATTTTATATCGAATAGTTGATGAAAATAGTTGATCACTTCCACTTTTAAATACATTTGAACTAATCCAAGTAAATTTTGATTCATTTATTCTTGAAATTAATTCGGTTTCATTTAAATCAAATTCATGATTACCAAATATAACAAAATCTATTCCTAATGTATTCATAGCTGCAATCATTTGTCGTCCATTTAATGTTGTTCCATTTACTTTTGATTGACTTAATGCTGATGGTGATAGAAAATCTCCAGCTAAAATAGTATATGTTTGACGATTTTCTTCTAATAATAATTGTCGAACATGAGCAACACGAGCTAAACCACCTTTTCGTCCTTGATCTAATGGAAGCATTTCATAAACATCATTTAATTGTAAAATTGTCCATTGAATATATTTTCCATCATTAGGTAAACGAATAGGAAAACCTATAGTACCTTTATCAACAGCATATATAGAATTAGAATAAGATTTTGAATTATTCCATAAAACAACAAATGTAATCGTTGTTATTATAAGACTAATTATTATTACAGATATCAACACCATTATTATTAAACGATTTTTTTGTTGAAATAATTTCGACCATTTTGAATTTAAACTCACTTGCTAAACATTAATAAAAATAATTTATTTTATCTATATTCATATAATAAAACGCTTTTCTAATGTCTTTTTAAAATACTTACTCTATCATCAATTAACATTTTTATTATTGTTATTTTGTTTAACTACTTTAAAGAATATCAATTAAATTTATTGCTTTTCAATTCACAAGAATAAAATATGATATCAATTTTTTTTTGTCCTTTACTTTGAATGACCTAAAGAATAAAAAAACCATGTTTTACTACCTACATCAGATTTTTTTTTAATATAATAAATAAACTGATAAGAACGTTTATTTGTTGAAGAACACTATTTATTTATATTTATTTAACGTATATTTGTTTTAATAATCAATAATATGACCAGTTATTACTCTTATTGAAAAAAAACCAAGTACCTTGATATTTTTTTTTTCAATTTTATTTTAAATAAAATTATATTTCTAAGTAAAGTAAACCAGGAAAAAATACTCTTTATTTCGAAAACTAATATTCTATTCATAGTCGATGTTTTCATCAGTTATTTTCAGGAGAATATCTATCTTTCCGAGATTGCTAAAGAATCGTTTTGCAAATATTTACGAAAGTTTACAAGTAAATGGATTTATGACGAATGTACAATAAAATCTCTGTCATAGAATATCGTTTTTTTAGATGAAAATTTTTCTGTAACAAATAGAAACAAGTCTCAATATATCTAGTTTCTTCATGAAAAAAATATAGATATTGACCCTCTAAATAAAGCTAAAACAGTAGAAATACTATGACAATAGCATCACACAATACTTCTTTTTCCAATGATGCGAATTTTATAAGAATTTGTCAAACTTAGTAAGTATTATGTATTTACGAGGAAAACTAAACATAAACATTGTTACTTAATCTAATAACCTATGAATATGATTGAGCTCAATAGTAGCGTCTTGTTGAAACAACTTTTTTGATTCCTATTACTATTGAATTTTTTGTACTCGAGAAAAACTATCATTAGGACATTCTAGCTTATGTCTACATTGCACTTTGTGCAACGTCAGATAATTTTCAACTAAAAATAAACTTATCCTTCCAATTGTATTTTGATAAAATAAATTAATTATTCTATGTGATCAACCTTAAGTTAAGAAAATTATTCAAGAGAAGAAGAAGATAATCACAATGTTATATTGCGAGATAATCTGAAAAATACTCATTTCGAAGGTAATAATTACAAAGAAGAATAAAAGCTGCTATTATTGAATTTGATTCTAATTGATAATGAATGAATGAATTTATTTAATTCTTGTTGATGGATATTTTTATTTCTTTTTTTTAATTAATAAATGACGTAAAAGTCTTAGGAAGAATATCAAACTCTATTTCTTAACAATACAATATCGTATTGACTTTGACATTTTATTTTGAAAGAGCAAAGTTCATAGAGTATATACATAAAACGAAACAAAATAAAATCATTTTCAGGAATGTTCTTTTTCAATATTGTTCTTTCCAATACTTTCGTAATAGAAAATAATATGTTAAGTTTCGATATGAAATGTACTCAATGAGAGTATCAACAGACTAGGAAAATAGTCACAGTTATAACTGTTATGTCTATTACTCAAAATCTATTTCATATTATTCTTATTAAGCTTGTATTATTTTTCTTGTGGATAGAATTGTGTCAGAAATTTTAAAATCAAACCTTAAAACTAAACTAAAATTAATTGTAGAATGCTATTTTATAATCTAGTGTTATTATCAAAACTATTAGTAAAAATTTTTCATTGTATTTATATTGTTTTACAAATTTTTTATTCTTTACAATTATTGAGAAACAACAATGGGAATAACAAGCTTTCTTCTTTTTTAATAAATAAAATGTAGAGATTATTCATAAAACATCAAGTAAAGACGTCGGTTGATAAATTCTTCTCTTGATAATATGTTAGCCTTCAGCATTATATTCATGAGACATATTACTAAATGGAATCGATCTGCGAAAAAACTTTTGATTAGTAAATAAAAACTAAAACATAATATTGATTCTACTTAATATTGCGCTTTTCTTTGACGTTATTTAGATGAGGAAATCTTAGCTGATTATGTTAACAAAAGAATCTAGAGATTTCAAATACTGTTATTTGTGTGTGTATTTTTTTATGGTGAGAAAGATACACATTACTGATTACTATTCCGGAATTTCATACATATTTCATAAATTAGGTATTCGAAGACCAATTGATTCTATTCAAAACTAATTTTCTACATTAAAATAAAACTAATGAAAAGAGAAAAAGAATTTTTCTTTCTCTAAAATCTTAAAAAAAAAAAAATAACTAACTTACAATTTGATTAAATTTGAAATTAAACTTGTTTTCTTTGTATGTTTACTCACAACGAATAACAAAAGATTGACATTAGATGATCCATCTCTACACAAATAAAAAAAGCAAGACACTAAATCAATAATCTTTTATCTCTCTCTTTCTGTCGCTTTTTTTCAATGTCATCATAATATATATTTTGAATTACATCTATAAATATAAAAACAAATCTTATTTGCATATCATTTCATATAGTTTTATTCGATGAAGATTGAAATTCAAAATCTGAATGCACACGAATCAGTTCAAATATCATTTTCGTTACGATCATAGTCTTCATATTAAATGGATGCAATCTCTTCTATAATGAATAACTTCGTTTTTTAAATTCATTTTTGATAATTTCTGAATGAAAAACGGTTTTATCCATAGTATCAATGCGTAGTCATTAACTAAACCACTTTGATATCTGATCATCATCTCTGATAAATAGTTCTTAGACATGTTCATCACAAATTTGGAATCCTGAATCCAATATCAAATCAATTTTATGCATTATTTACATGACAAATTTCAGGAAACGACATAAAATATCACGATAATTATCAGTTATATTCATTTATCGTAATGTTCCAAAATCCTTTGACACATAAGACTAGTGTTTCACAATATTTATGAATGGGATGCGTAAAATGAAAAATACTTCATTGAATAGGAATAAAGTGTTTTTTTTTCTAATAATTCTTGTTCTTTTTATGATATTGATTTAAAATGTGTAAATCTCAATCATCATTTTTCATGATAGGGACTATAGAAATTTTTTAAATATATTTTCATTCTAGTTAGTTATCAACGGAATTCACCGCAATTAGTGTAAGAGTGACGAAGAAAACAATTTGTTCATTATCAATAATAATTACTATTAATATTATTATGGTGTTTGATTTATGAGCACTAGATACTGAAATCATTTCGATTATTTTGACTGTCAATAAAACAAGAATAATCATAATAACAACGATAACTTCCAGATATAATTAATAGATAAATAAGAGTTTATAATTTCATTATCTTTTGATGAAACTGTTTTCGAGATATGATTTATATTTGAGAAAAAAATCCAATGAAATAACATAACTTAGAATGATCTTTATTAATATTTTAATATTTTATTCCATTTGTATTCATTAAGTATATGAAAACAATCTTTTTTTTCAGATACGTGAACATCAAATGAGAATTTTCTAAATAATAATTTTTTTGGTTTATGTAAATAATAGTTACCATGAATAAGACCACAACTGCAGGCAGTAAATATCCTCATCGATGACAAGAATATTGAACCAATTGAAACTATAAGAGTTTTTCTTTTCTTTTGATTTTAATAAATGTTCCTCAAGTTAGTAATAGTAATATATTTCGCTTTTTTCATTAACACCTAATATATTGTGTGAAATATCTACTTCAATGCCATTTCAATGCTTAAATTATACAACAGACACCTATGATACAAAACAAATTTCATATGTTTTATCGAATTCATATTGAGACAATGTATGGTTATTCACTATTAATCCTATGTGAAGTCCATTGCAAGAGTATAGTTGATCGTCTTGTTATTTATGTGCCAATAACAAATAACTGTTATAGAAGCCGTTTATACTGGTTAGTATGCATAAGAATATTTTTAAATAGTTTGAAAAACTATAACAAGTAATATTTTCGACTAAATAATATTATATGAACATATTCAAGATGTAATCATATATTCATGTTCATGCTTGTTACATCGCTGTCATGTAATTTTCATTATTGTATAACTTAATTTCATTCCTGATAAAAAACATAGCGAGACATCACTATTATTCTAAAATAATATGTCCTTTGTTTTCTATGAATATTGTTTCATTAATAAACATTATGTTAAGAGATATGGCATCATAATGGCACAAATAATGAAAGTCAATTCAAATTTTGAAAATTCTTCATCCGAGACGAATTATTGCATGGAATTCAATTGGATGGGATGGGATGGGATACATTATTAATACCATAGGATGTAATGGAACACACCAACTGATCTCATGAAACTATTTTTTCGTCCAGTATCATCTTTTTCAAAGTGTGATATAGATCAAATATATTTTTATATTTCATTTTGTGATTATTAATACTACCGGTGGTCCATAAATAATTGGATACTTCAATTTTTTTTAATGAAAACCAATGGTACAGTTCAAAGGCTTCATTTTAAGCTCATTGGATAGAGAATTTTTCTTACTACTACATAGTCGACTTGATTTTTCAAATAAGTTGTACTTGTTGGCAAGCATTAAGAAAGACTGATAGTCGCTCAATTGTTCAGCTGCGATTGTCTGTCATTTTCTCTGGATATCTAATGATTCGTATAAGCTTGTGTCTATCAAGTTCGATATTAAATGTTAAGAATTTAGCATCAATATACAGAGAAGTGCATGTAATACGACTTGAAGACCTTTTTAGGCTTCTGATAGTGTCGATCGTATGCAAGTACCTTAGAACTCACACTTGGCACTATTTCTTTGGATGTACTTTCGGAGTACGTGATTTCAAAAGTCAGAGGCATTCTATAAAAGATTCATTATAATATCTTCGGACATCGACTTTAATCTTTAATAAAACGCCGTCACATTTCAACTAAACAACGCAAATCTTTGAAGTATTTTCAATTAAAAATAAACAATGGTGTGGACTTATCAGAAAAGAGTTCTTTATGATTTTTTCGAGTTCTTATTTCAAAAATTTCTCTTCCAGATT